GATTAATTAACGTTGATACTGCAGTAAGAGCTGATGGATCCACTTTAGTATACAGGTCCACTTAAGTATGTTATCACTTCCTAACATTTTGCTTTATGATTGGTTTTCCTCAAAAGAACTGAGGAATAGAGAAAACAGTTTAGGCTGAGATATGAAGAGGTGGAGCTGAACAGCAATACAAAGATTCTGGAGCTCCTGGAAGTCTGGATCCATGAAGATTTATTTTGCATTTATAGGATATACAACACACAAATAATACAATAAGAATTTTATTTACAGTGATTAAAAATAGATTTATTCTACATAACCAATGAAAATAAAGCAATAATAAATAATACCTGTGTCATGAAACAACCCAACCTTCCTGTAAAAGGCAGGGGTGTCCAAAGTCGGTCCTCGAGGTTCTGGCATCCTGTAAGTTTTAATTCTAGTCATTAGCTTCTCAGCATGTCAATGTTCTGCAGAGGCCTGCGAGTGAGCCATCATTAGCAGGCCTCTGCCTGTTTGTGTTTAACCAACATGCAGGATCCCGGCCCTTGAGGACTGATTTTGGACGCCACTGCTTTACTCCTATTTGGCAGAGGATAAAGAACAGCCACCATGCTGAACTACATCTATGAGGCATCTATACAGTTATGACAGTTTATGTCCAAACTTGAAAGCAAACTCAATGACCTAAGCTGCATTTTTTTATATTGTAGATATGCTTGTATCCTTAATAGCAGGATCAGTCAACCACAGTATGAAAAAGGTGTTTGTTCATGAGGTCCAAGTTGCTGCTATTTACAGACTTGGAGAGGTTTCCTATAACCTGGTTTAGTCAATTTTCTTTTTATAATATACTTTGCAAAGAGAACTACAACCAGGAAAAGTTAAAGTGTCTATAACAGTTAATCTATGTGACCGCCAAGTGTTTTTGTTTAATGTGTAAATTCAATGTATAAGTATTAATGAAGCGGTTTCCACATTTTTCACATGTAAAAGGTTTCTCACCTGTGTGAATTCTGTAATGGTTTTTTAAGTTACCCTGATATCTATACCATCTTAAACATCTGTCACATTTGAAAGATCTTTTCTTTGTGCCAGTATCAGACTGACTCTCTGACACAGAGCAGCTGCTTCCTTCCTGATCTTTGCTCTCAACCACTGGAGAGATATGAAGGGAAAGCTGCTCTGTTCTTGTCTCTTCTTCACTCATATCATCTCCCTGAAGAGTAGAAGTCTCAATCAAAGCAACAAACTGCTTCTGGACAAGCTGCTCTCCCTCCTGACTGCTGCAGAGGTCCTTCTGGTCCTGTCCAGTTGGTAAATGTTCTGGTGGCTGCTGTTCATGTCGAACCATTAAAGAATCTGGTTCCTTCTTTTCTTGTTCTGAGTCAACCTCTTCCTCTTTAATCTGTTTAGGTTCTGCTTCCTCCAGGTCATGACTGGACCTCCTCTTGTGGGGACATACCTGTG